GGGTTGAATGCAGAGACAAGTGTTGGTAGGTCGTGAGAGACGGAATGATATTGTGTGTAGACCTGTGACAGTGGAGGTCTGTTGAGATTCAACTTATTATCTGAACTGTGATTATTCATCAAGATATAAAGTGTTGTAATATTGAACCTGCGTGCAGAGTGTGCTTCTTTATATCAGGTGGGTGGTTCGGTACCAAATGAGGTGTCCTCAGCTAGAGGTGGGATTTCCTAAGCCGTTGACGAATACCTACAGACAGGAGGTGGTACAAGCCTCTGTCGCATTTGGGTGCCGTGAGGAAAGGTTCGCACAAGACCTAACAAAGAAGGTCACATGCTGCAGCTACTTGACCATATATATATATATATATATATATATATATATATATATATATATATATATATATATATATATATATATATATATATAGTGTTGTTTGACTTAGTTTACTTAAAATGGTGCACCGTCATAACGGCTAGTGACAAAACGACCACGTCAAAACGGCCCCGTCAAAAACGACCCCGATAAAGTGACCCCCCCCCCCCCCCCCCACAAAAAGACCCAGTCAAAATAGCCCCGTCAAAAGGGCCCCGACATTTAGACTTCCATCCAATGGGCTCCTGTCATATTGACTCGCGACATATAGGCTCCCGACAAATGCACTACCGTGACTTTGTAAACTAACTTTGAACACAAAATCAATTTTATATATATATTTATAATACATTTTCGATGAATAATAACAATATTCGTGATCATACGAGTATAATTCTATGTAGGCCTACAGTCACAGCTTTACTTATTTCCAAGTGTTATTCACTTCGCTTCATACAAGATTGAAAATTTACGCTTTTTAGACGATGGTACGGCTAACCCAATTGAACAATATTGCTATTTTTAGCTGCCATGAACAATGTATGTTATAATTGGTCTAACAATACAAACTTAGTATACAACTTAATTTTCACGTGATTAGCCATATTCCGTTGTTTTTTTTGCAATAAATTTACATGGGGCCGTTCGTTGCTAGCGTCCCATTTAAGGGATGTTTTTTAAAAACATCGATATTTTAAAAAGTATTGATTTCTAAAAAAAAATCCATAATCATTCCTTCATTCAGTGCCCAAAAGCTAAACCATATCAAAAAAATTTCATTAAAAAATGCCTACTAATTTGGTCAATGTTTTAATTAATTCATAAAAAATTAATCAGGCGACCAATTAAGTCAAATTGAATGGCATGATGCATTGTCCAGGGTTCCCGCGGCCTCCTGAAATTCCAGGATGTCCTGGAATTCTCCTGGAATTTAAAAAAACCAGAAAAGTCCTGGAATTCTCCTGGAATTTTAACATTTCTCCTGGAATTTTAACATTTCTCCTGGAATTTTACTCGCATCGATAATGTTAGCGAATATTTTTTTCGCGCGTTAGATTTCTAGGTAATCAGATCTGACCGCCCGAGTAAAAATGTTCTGCCTTTTCAATTCTTCGCGTTACAAGTCACACATTTTAAAATATAGACCTAAAGCTGTCTTTAACATGTGGGTTTGGTTTAATTTTTTTTCTCACGTGATCTATGTGTGCGGCTCTGTTTAATAGGACTTTTTTTTAAATGGGAAATTTCGAGTAGGCCTAGGCCAAAATCTAGTTTTTGCGCAGCTAATTTGAATCTACAGTCCGATAGGCTCTAGATCTACTTTCTATTTTTACATGCGAGTTGTAATACTACCACCCTCCCATCCCGCATCTCAGTTTCTTTCCCACGACAGGGTGGGGGAGGGAGGACCGCTGGTTGGGTATATGAAGTGAGCTCTGTGTGACCCGCTAGTGATGTCATCAGCAGTGTACTACAGGCCAACTGTAAGCTTAGATGAACTCAAACTGACCCCGCGTGACGGTGTCTAGCTGGAGGAAAAAAATACGGTACTGGCAATAAAAAAAACAAAACAACTATCTGAAATTCTATTTTTGGCTGAAATATTTTAAATTTTTCAAGAATTAGGGGTCGTCCATAAATGACGTCACACTCGTAGGGGGAGGGGGGTCCGTAATTTTGTGACGGTGTGATGCAGGGGGGGGGGGTTCAGATGGTGGGACGTCACACTTTTGCATCATAAAAAGCAATGTTAGAAAACGAATTTTAGCCGTTATTTCGCGTTTTAGAAAACTGTAATAGGAATTGATCAAAATACTCTATGTTGACGGCGTTCTGACAAGATTTTAGAAAATATCGATGTTTTAAGAAAAAATCAACATCAATTTTGAGAGGGGATGTAGGCTGAGGTGTGACGTCATTTTAGGGGTGGGGGGGTCTGGCTTTCTGTGACGAAGTGGGCAGGAGGGGGGGGGGGGGGTAAAAATCGTCAAAAAAAGCGCAAAGTTTCCAAAATACAGTTTATTTTTAGTAGGACAAATCTAAGCTACTCAGGTTGATCTACTTGTTCATTAAAAGTTAAAATTACAGTTTGGCTATTTACTGTTTAAGACTCCCATTTAAATCACAATGCCATGTCCATTTTAAAAAGACAAGACATGGTTGCAGCTGTTCTGTTTGTTTACAATTGACATTGTTAGTACGGATGATGACATTGGTGAGGGGTTATGTCACTTGACACTGGGATATAGCTATGATTGCTAGGCTCAATATGTTTCTCAGTAGCAAACATCTAAATTAATTTATAATTATTTTACTAAGTGAATTTACTCACACTATTTCAGTAATCATTGAATTGAAAACACAAGTGCAAACATATAATTGATTAACATTTTAAATAAGTTTATTGCTGAAATTGTTTTCTAATATTTTTAAAGTTGTGAAAATTTACTTTTTTTTTGGGGGGGGGGGGGAAATAAAGAAGAACTGTTATTTAGTTGTTTAAGAAGTGTCACATTTATATATTTAACTACTCATTGGCATAAGTGGGGGGGGGGGGGGGGGGGCTGATGAAAAGGGATAACATTTTTGTTTACAAAAAGCTCATTTTATGCTGAAGTATTGAATTATACAGAGTCAAAGTTAAGAAAAGAAACTGCTACATGACTACACACTGATTCAACTTTTCTCTACCTCAATTGTGTAGTACAAAGATAAAAATTGTAACAGGATAGTGACTGGTAAAAAGTGCCACCAAATTTTCCAAAGGGGGGAGGAGAGAAAGGAGAGATAGCAATTTTATGAATAACAATTTATAAATGGGAGGGGTGGGGTGCAAAATTGAATCTACTTTAACTAAACTAAATGGTTTAGAAACAGTTACTTTTAAAAATTACAAATGCTATGCTTCATAGCATTTTATAAAGACCACTTCCTAATTAAGGAATGTCAAACTCCCTTCCATTCAGCGCGGGGTTGAGTCGTTGCTTTTTAATAGGTTAAATTATGTCCTGGAATTTTGGTTTTTTCTCCTGGAAAACTCCTGGAATTCTCCTGGAATTTCAAGTTCACTTTGGTGTAGGAACCCTGATGTCTTCATGTCTTGACCCACGTTCCAACTACGAACCGTATCTATCAGGTAGAATGCCTGCAATTTCGCTCGGGCGTTTCGATCTAGACTCCAGACAGACAGACTGACGAGAAAGTATGTTGAATAAAAGCTTGTAAAAACGGCGTCTATCTTATCAACGGTTATACCTCACTGTCGGCGAATGAAAGCGCCTATGTTGTGGTCAGTGACTGTATTAAACTGTTAGTCAACAAAGGCGCACTTTTACGACTTCACTGATACATTTCACCATATTTTTATATGGTTTTGGTTTGAGGGATGTATGTGATGAATGTCACCAATATAGTCCAAGTCGTCGAAACTAAGCTGAGAAATATATTTGCTCAGACATATTTAGACAAACACTAGAAAGAAAAGGAACTGAGGCGGTGTTGTACTCCGTACAACCGCTCGAAAATAATTTTAAGTACATGATACGCGTGATTGAAAATTGAAAAATTAAATTTAAAAAAATGACAAAATGACATTGAGATTTCAAAACATCCAGTAGTTAAGTTTATCACACATTTTTCAAATCTATGACATGAATGTACAATATCTGTTCAAGTGTGATGTTGCGGGATTTATCCAAGTCTGTGTAAGATGTATCATAGTTTAACTATCGTTCTATCATTCGTGTAAGATGTGTCTGTCATAGTTTAACCATTGTCCTATCATTGTGTACGATGTGTCTGTCACAGTTTAACCTTTGTTCTATCATTCGTGTAAGATGTGTCTGTCATAGTTTAACCATTGTCCTATCATTGTGTACGATGTGTCTGTCACAGTTTAACCTTTGTTCTATCATTCGTGTAAGATGTGTCTGTCATAGTTTAACCATTGTCCTATCATTGTGTACGATGTGTCTGTCACAGTTTAACCTTTGTTCTATCATTCGTGTAAGATGTGTCTGTCATAGTTTAACCATTGTCCTATCATTGTGTACGATGTGTCTGTCACAGTTTAACCTTTGTTCTATCATTCGTGTAAGATGTGTCTGTCACAGTTTAATCATTGTCCTATCATTGTGTACGATGTGTCTGTAACAGTTTAACCTTTGTTCTATCATTCGTGTAAGATGTGTGTGTGTCATAGTTTAACCATTGTTCTATCATTCGTGTAAATTGTCAGCAAACGTATTGTCGGGTTTATAATAATAAGTTTTCTTTGCCGATTTCCTAATCATTATTCATCATCTTTTCAGTAACCTTGGGTGGGTTGTCGACATAATCGAGCCAGGATCCGAACGTAATTGCTACTATATATATATATATATATATATATATATATATATATATATATATATATATATATATATATATATATATATATATATATATATATATATATATATATATATATATATATATATATATATATATATTAAAAAGCTGGCGCGTTTTTGTGCACTCGCTACTTCATTACCAGGAAAACCTGCATGCGCCACTAATTTGAGATCTTAAAAAAATGCGATAAATTAAAATCTCTTTCTGAACCGGAATTTGTATTTTTATCGTTTCAGAAGAAGGATGGAAGGAGGCTTGGATTTGTCTGACATCGGAAACTCAATTTCAAACTTACTATTTGCTACTCGAACCAGTGAAGTAAAACCAACATCACCTAATTACCAGCTGAATTTCGCGGTGCATTGCCTGCCTGCAATCATTTTGTTGTGCCTGCTTTACAGGTTTTTATCTCTAGTTTAACTTCATAAACCAAAACACACATTGAATACACACACAGCGGGAGTAATCTCCCTAAACTTTTTCACATATTCTTATAAAATAGTAATAGGGACGGGACTTAAGTCCGTCCGGGCTTTAGAAATGGCTTTTATTTATTGATTTTTACTTCCTCGTATATACGAAGTATAGAGTCCTTGCAAACACGTGGCCTAAATCACGTGATACCTACGCCCGCCGCCACGTGTACACCAGACGTAAACACAATCAGCTGTTCACCAGCGCAGGAGGTGTTCACTGTATGTAAAGAATCGCACCCGCGGAAAAGTAAAAATACGTTAAAAAACTTGAACTCTTAGGAATTGAAGATCCTTATACTGTTATTGACAGTTTCGTGGATAATATAAATATGTGCCCGAAATTTCTAAATAAAAATACTCTTAGTAATACTGTTTGCGTTTAGAGTTTAAGTAGACGAATCTGATCAAATACAGGTTATCTACAGAGCAAACGTGAGACCACTTAACTCCTACAAAACCTACACTACAACGACTAGTATAATTCATGGGTAATAACCACTGCTGTTCTTAGATCTCAGCCAATCTGGGTAGCATGTTATACAAGTTAAGACCCTTATAATACTGATGTTCAACCCTCACGATGGCCAGCCCCCACCCTTTTCTAGCCCACAATAAAACCAAAGAAGTCAGTACCACTGCTCTCCCCTGAAAATTTCTCACCTCTGTGATACCCAGCCCCACCGAGATAGTATCTCTTATATAATTTTGACCCTCAGTGCTCAGCAGGGAGAACAAAGGGGAAATCAGCCCCACTGCTCTCCCCTCAACATTTCTCACCTCGATGTCATGTTATGTCATTTATAGCACACATGGCTTATCATGGGGAAATCATTAAGGTAGATTAGTTAGTACCATCCCTTTTTAACTCTGGACAGCTACACACTAGTATACTAGCTACACACTAGGTGCCTACTGTAAACTACTAGACTGTAGGCCCTAAGTAGACCTGCAATTGTATCAATTGTAGACTGGGTCCATTGTTATTAATCTAAACCATCTCACTTATAATGTGTCTAGCTTTATTTGTTTCTTTTATAAACAGTGGATTTAAAAAAATATTAGCCTAATCATTAACCAAATAATAATAATGTGGTTATTTGTTGTTGGATGGTATGATCTAGATTCTAGTACTAGGCTACATAAACTTAGTAGACTAATTACTAGATATGCATTTGAATTTAATTAAACTCATTCCAGTATCAGATACATATTGCTGTAAAAAGATACAAAGTAGGTAGGCCTTAGTAATTTATTAAAGCCTTCTACTACAATAATATCAACTACATGATTGCATAAACTTTTAAAAATTTAATTAAAGTAGCAGATTCTAGATTTAAGTCTAGTCATACAATCTATTTCAATTTTAGAAAACTTAGTTGGCTAAAAAAAATTGTTAGATTATAGAACGAAATTTTAGATCTTAGAGACAATTAAATGCTTTATTATTATGACTACTTTTGATTTATTATGGGTGTATTTTGAATGGAATGTAGATCTAAATTTTGTAATTAAATTTAAGTAAATAAGTAGTTTCTAGATTCTATGTCTACCCAGCGGAGCCAGTCACCCTAAATCCAGAATCTAGATCTGTGGTCCGAATTTTGTTTACGCCATTTTTAGAGCTAAATTCTAGATCTAGATATTAAAACACTATTATTACTATTAAATCTTATTATTCTTATTATTACTTTTGACTTTGTCTTTAACTATTAGTATTTGTGAAGGTCGAGCATATTTGTTTTATTAATAGTTATTTTTTATAATTAAAATGAAGTTTATTATTTTACTGTCCTTACCTGCAACAAAGTGTCGAGAACAGATTCGCATATTATTTGCCGCTGCTTCACTCACACCGCTGCGATAAATATTGGCTAAAAATTGACGGCGTCTACGTTCTGTTAACTGTCGATCTTTATCATCTTGGTTTAATATAACCCTTGGCAGTCGAAATAAAGGAATCCCTTTAGATACACTTCGAGTATCACAACCTTTCACCGCACAGATCACCATTTTAAATTAGATCTGTACACCGCGATGGCGGATGTTTGCATTCACGAACGGACGTGACGTCATATGAAAGGACTCTATAGAGAAAGTCGTATAATCGTGCAAAAAAAAAAATCGAGATTTTTTAAAATCTCGACGTTTTAGGGCTTCCTGAGTCGGAAAAACATAGTTTTTCAATCATGTCCGTATGCCTGTATGTGTGTGTGTGTGTGAACACGATAACTTGAGTACCGTTACAGCTAGGTTGATGAAATTTCATATATACGTACATCCGTACCAACTTTTGAGCGATTTCCGATAACCGGAAGTGGAACTTTTTCTACTTTCGATTTTTCAAAAGCCTATAACTTGAGTACTATTTCAGAAAGATTTATGAAATTTCACATGTAAGTAAAAGTTCTACTTCTCTGCCTTCGGCCAAATTTTGAGTAATTTCCGTCGACCGGAAGTAGTGATTTACGCTATTTCCGATTTCTCAAAAAAAACGCATGTTCGGTCACAAAATTTTATTTTAAATTACATTATACATAATACACTACAGTACTATATAGCAATATATAGATATAGATCTATGGGGAAAGGGATGTGTCAAAATAAAACATAAGGAAATTGCGCTTAAATTGTCACTAGACTTTTTATTAACTTGTTTTTTTAAATTTAAATACTGGGAAAAAAATACATAAAAATGTTTTAATAACACGCTTTTATGTTATATAATGCTCTAAAAAGTAGAAAATAAACGACATACTACTATTTAGCTATAAAGAAAAGCGTTAAGACCCGACTAGTATCTTGCGATCGCAAGTATATAATTTTATTGACTCGCCTTCTGTCACACTTGTAGGGGGGAGGGGGGGGGTCCGTAATTTTGTGACGATGTGTGATGAGGGGGAGGGGGGGTCAGATGTTGCGACGTCACATTTTTGCATTATAAAAAAGCAATGTTAGAAAACGAATTTTAGACGTTATTTCGCGTTTTAGATAACTGTTTTAATCAATTGTAATAGTTTAGACAAGGTTTTGGAAAAATATCAATGTTTTAAAAAAATTCAACTGCAATTTTGAGGGGGGTTGTAGGTTGAGGTGTGACGTCATTTTAGGGGGGGGGGGGTCTGGCTTTTTGTGACGAAGTGTGACGGAGGGGAGGGGGGGGGGGGAGGTAAAAATCGTCAAAAAAAGCGTGACGTCATTTATGGATGACCCCTTATTGAATGTAGACATTTTTAAATTCAATTTTAATGACTAACCTAAAGTCTAATAAGATTAAAAATAGATATTCGTGCATAGTGATGGGAGACTAATGTATGTTAAAACAAGTTAATAAAAAGTCTAGTGACAATTTAAGCGCAATTTCCTTAATTAATTTTTTGTGACCGAACGAAAGGATATTTTTGAAAACTTTCTTCGGCAATATTGTTCTAAATTATGGCAGGAATCGATTGGTAAATGTTTCAAGTCGCTAAGTGGTCTGGTTGCCGAGATATGGGTTTTTTTTTCTTTTCCGGGAAATTGAGGAAGGATTCCGGGAATTTTTTTGGCCCACAATCATCCTCGGAACTTGCTTAACATATTTGCTTTTGGAACTAGTCCTCGATATTGCTTCGTTGAGGAGAAGATACGACTTAAAGCTGCGGACACACATTCATCCATCACCAGAAATGACGAGTTAATAATCGCAATTGTCAGTATGGAAATTGCGCTAAAAAGTGTGCACGAAATCGCTGCATTTAGAAGTTTTTAAAAAGAATAAAGATTTCTTTTTTAGACCTAACGATCCATTGGTGGAGTTCATATGTTTTTAGACCTCGACGTATAAAGGGATAATGTGATCAGCCATTACTATCGTGAGTTAGGCACCAATCTGAGTTGGGTGGACTCAGGGACTTTCCACTCAGAGTTTCTTCCAGGCATCTCTTCGGGGGGGCGAAGCCCCCCCCCCCCCGAAATTTTTTTACCGCCCCTACGAACGAAATGAAATTTATATAATTTATATAGAAAATATATACTTTTAACAGTGACCGCCCCCCCCCCCCGAAGAAAGTCTACCGCCCCCCCCCCCCCCCCCACCCCCCACGATAATTTCAAGTGCCCCCCCCCCCCCGGAGAAAAAAGTCTGGAAGAAACACTGGTTCCACTGACTTGAACCCGGAATCGAACTCGAAACTATCGGTTTAGCAGTCTAGCGCTCCACCGCTAGGCCATGTGGGTCAAACTTAAGTCCATAAATCCAACCCACATTTATAACGAAATGTATCGACTAAACTAATGATGACCGAGACAAGAAAAACCCCGAGGTTTCTAAATATATGCACTAGAAATCTATGAGCATAGTTAGAAGAAATGACACTAATGCAGGGCCAGCGCTACCATAAGCCGAACTAGGCGACCGCCTAGGGCGCTATCCATAGTTGGCGCAAAAATGTGTAATCGCCATTATTAAAAAGTACCTAATAATTAATAACTTAGCGTAGCGATCTATTTCGGTGCCCAGGACGAACTATCAATTTCGACGACAGCAGTAAATCGACGACAGCAGTAATTGTTCTTCAGTAACTATCATACACTGTTGTGTAGAGAATAAAAAGTTACGGCGGGAATACATGAGATTAAGGCGTTTTAAAACTCGATTATTTCAGGCACAAATTAGTTTGAGCCTATCTCTGTGTGGTTTGTAGTCTTATATATATATGTAACTAGGGGAAGTTACCAGAGATATAAGAACGCAGTACAGCGCTGTCAACTTTGACACGACTGATGTAATAACGCAGGTGTTGGCTGATAACGATCAGAAAGCCAAGGCGTAGTATCTTGGGAAGCGATACGATAAGAACGCAATACGGTCTGTCAACTTTGATGTGACAGGATGCAGATGGCTTATTAAATCGGACTGTACGACAGAAGCGGCGTAATTAACATTCTGATGCAACGATTAGAATCGATTACGATTACGATTATGATAGAACCGAATACGATTACGAATACGAAGGGGATATATAGGAAGGCGATGGCTGAGCTCGCTCTCTCTCTCGCTCTCTCTCTCGATCAGTCAGTCAGTGTGGCAGTATCAAGTTGGTTATTGAACGGGTTAGCCGTATTGTGTTAAGAAGGACGATAGACATGTGCATTCAGTTATGTGAAGACTAGTGAGGACTGTTGGGGGTCAGTTGATTCAGACTATTATTGTGAAGCATTCCTTTTGATTCATTATATTATTGTGAAGCATTTCTTTGATTCATGTAATAAAAGGATCAATAGCGAACCTGCATCTTCGAGTATCTATACTGTGGTCGATGTGTGTAGAATGAGTGGTTAGACTCGGTAACATTTGGCGTTGTCGAGCAGAACTCGTTAACATTTGGCACTACAGGCAAATAGTCTCGTTACACACACATATATATATATATATATATATATATATATATATATATATATATATATATATATATATATATATATATTGCGGGGGAGGGGCGCTTACACAGAAATATACAGATACTAGAAGTATTATATCACAACAGCTCAAAAATATTCAGGAGAAATTCTTTAGTCGATCTAGGCCATTTGATTATTATGTATATTTTAGTTTATTAATTTTTAAAAACCACGTTGTACTAATAGTTTATAGCTTTTTAATTAACTTTTCAGATTTAAAGTGTTGCAAAGGCTAAAAGATTGGTTTTCCAATAAAAAAAATCAAAATCAAGTAAGTGTAATGGGCACTGAAATCAAGTAAGTGTAATGAGCACTAAAATCTATTAAGTGTAATAAGCACTAAAATCAAGAAAGTGTAATGAACATTATAAACAAATAAGTGTATTGAGCACTAAATTTAATTTAGAGCAATGAACTCTAATTTCAGCACTGAAATCAAGTAAGTTGTTTAGAGAAGTAATTTCTGCCAAAAATAAAAAAAATAAAATTGACACCCTCCTCCACCTACCTAATTTTTCCGAAGAAATCGGATATCTTTTTGTCTGAATTTTATTTTTGCAATAAAAAAGCAAGGCGAATTTATTGGAAGGTGCCTAGTTCAGTGTCGGAATGGCTGTGTCGCCAGAGAGCGCATATAGACCCCGGCTCGAAACCGAGAAAGTAGCGTTTGGCTAAAACATATTTCAGGGTCCAACCATCATTACCATGGCAACAAAGGTTACAACGAAAGCTGCGCAACTCGCTAGTGACATCGAGAAAGTAGCGTGTGACTACTCATGTACGCCTAGCTAATTAGTTTTTGCTCTTAATCTATTTGTAAAATAAATTTTGTAGTGTTCAAATCATATAAGATATATATATATATATATATATATATATATATATATATATATATATATATATATATATATATATATATATATGTATATATATATATATATATATATATATATATATATATATATATATATATGTATATATATATATATATATATATATATATATATATATATATATATATATATATATATATATATATATATATATACACTTATATACTAACCGTCCCGTCCAGGCCCTGCTCTGGCCTCTGTGAAAAAGCTATATGTTAGGACCATTACCTGTATGTTTAGTAATCATCATAAACCCGGCATTGCCCATCCTAACCACAACCAACCAAAAAAAAAAAAACGTAAACCTAACGCAAACACGATTACAAATACGAAAACAAAAACCTAACAACAAACCCAAACACAAACATAAATACCAAGAAAAAACAAACACAAAAAAAATTCGAACGAAAACAAACCAATTCGGAACGTAAACCCAACCACAACATAACACAAAGACAACACAAACAAAACACCAACACAAAAAAGATAACTAAAAACCTGCGGGAATTCCCGTTCTTGAATAAACGAATTCCCCTTTGTGCGCAAAAAAAGACAGACACAAACGAATGCGCAAAAACCCACAAATAATGACCTGCGGGAATTCCCGTTCAAGAATAAAGATGTATTTTTTTTTTACGTCAAATGTCTTTAATTAAAAAAATGTTTAGTAAATAGTACGTTCAGTGTATTAAATAAGTAAAAGGCAGAATTAAAAATACCTACCAAATGCATTTGATTAATCCGTGCTAATTATGTAATTCTTTATTTCCCAACACCAAAAAAAAAAAGAAATAAAAGGTATTTTCTTTTCCACCAATTCAATGTTTTATTAAGGGAAGTAATTGTGTTTTCCTAATTTATCAAAGGGAATTAAGTGCTAAAGGACTAAATATAAATAATGTTCAGACATAATTAGAATTTTTGTAAAAGGTGATATTTTTTAAAAAAATTTGTTTAATGAACATGCAGACAATTATTACTGTCAGTTTGAAAAATGAAAATTATTTCCCAACACTTTCAGTACTAATTTTTTAAACCATGCATTTAGACCATGAGCGCTATAATTATCTAACTTTTGAATCCATGGAAGTATCGTATTTTCTTATATTCTTTTGTAATCCACGACAAACATAATTACATACATACATTTCAGCTATATATATATATATACTAGCCGTCCCGGCCAGGCCCTGCTCTGGCTTCTGTGATAAACCTTTCTGTTAAAGACCATTACCTGTGTGTTTATTAATCATCATAAACCCGGCATTGCCCACCCAAACCATAACCAACCAAAACCTAAACAACAAAACGCAAACATAACGCTAACACAATTACAAATACAAACGAAAACAAAAAACTAACAACAAACCCAACCACAACCACAAACACCAATATGAACACAAAGAAAAAAACGAAAAAGCAAACGAAAACAAACCAAATCCAAACGCACAAAATCAACCACAAACACAAACCCAAAGAAAAAAACACAAATGAAAAAGCAAACGAAAACAAACCAAATTTATTAATCCAAACGCAAAACCAACCACAAACACAAATACAAACACAAACCCAAAGAAAAAACACAAACGAAAACGAAAAAAGAAAGAACAAAAACGAACCAAAACGCAACCACTAACGCAAACCCAACCTAAACACAATGAAAACACTAACGCGTACATAAACGCAAAGTGCTCACAGTCTAGCCCGGGGCGGAATCGCCTGTTTCAGCTTAATAAACGACTATAGTACACCAACTTATTCATAGTCTTTTGCACTCACTTAAACGAACGTAGGTGCCAAACCGAACACGGGAGGCCCGGGGCCCCAAATAGCACCCTGTCTGGGCACCAGAGGACGTCCGGATTCGATTCACTTAAAGACTATAGTAACCTTTCTTATCCATACTCTATCGCACTGTTTAAAGCGAAATTATGCACCATAACGCTCACAGGATAGCCCAGAGCGCCAAATTGAACCCTGGTGGGGCGCCGGCGGACGCACCTGTTTCAGTTTAATGAACAATTATAATACTCCAAGCTTAACCGTAAAATACCTACAACATTTGCACTTGATCAATCCCAGCTAATTATGTAATTATTTTTTTCCCAACACCAAAACAAAGTAATAAAAAGTAAATTCTTTTCCACTAATGCAATGTTTTGTAAAGGGAAGTAATTGTGTTTTACTAATTTATCAAAGAGAAGTAAGTCATAACGGACTAAATATAAATAATTTTCAGACTTAATTAGAATTTTTGTAAAAGATGAAATTTTTTAAAAATTGTGTTTAACTCATAAATTTAGACTATGAGCTCGATAATAATCTAACACTTAAATCCATCAAAGTATGTCCACGACAAACAAACTTATTACATGTTACATACAGAATTGAGCTTTATATATATATATATATATATATATATATATATATATATATATATATATATATATATATATATATATATATATATATATATATATATATATATATGTATATATATATATATATATATATATATATATATATATATATGTATATATATATATATATATATATATATATATATATATATATATATATATATATATGTATATATATATATAAACACACAATATCGTGCTCATCCCCGCGCGTTGTTGCGAGCTAGAAGAAAGTCTGACAAAATAATTTAAGAGGGTTTCATCCATCCGTTACCAACCCTTTATTCTTACATGCGTGACCTTGTTTCTAAAATTCAAGTTATTTAAATGTAAACAATGCCTTGGCTACATTTCTTGGATCAAATTTCTCGGGGCTGGACTATGCCTACACTACCGCCAAGTATCCCCCAGGGCTTGGTGTATGAAAGCCTTGAGTGTACGTAATCACTCTAAGTACTAGTAAAATAGAACACATTTCGGCAACCGCCTAGGTGTCAGGGATGTAGAAGGGCGCTCTCCGGAGCCCCTGGTAATTCTACCTCGGGGCTGCCGTGTACAGCCCTTGGCTCGATTTTATCAACGAATGTCGTGTGCCACAGTGTCAATATTATAGACTTGCCATGACTTAGTCCTCTCTGCTCCTTTTGGAACACAGGACCTCTACCATTTCCTTCCATTTCATCCGATCCCCAGCTATTAATTTTGCAGTCTCCCAGGACATCCCAGTTGGCTTCAGTTCTTCAAGAAGACTCCGCCTCCAGTTCTGTCTTGGGCGCCCTCTCTTCCGCTTTTCCTGGCGGTTTTTCTCAAGCGCTTGGCGTGTAATATTTGGGTGAGCATTTCGTAGCGTGTCCCACCCAGCGCCACTTCCTCCTTCATATTTGCACAGCCATAGGCTCCTGTCTTGCTTTTCTCCATAATTCTATGTTCGGCACTTAGTCCGGCCATCTCAATTTCAATATCTGTCTAAGGCATCTGTTCATGAAGGTCTGTATCTTTGCTGTGCTTGCTTTGGAGACTATACATGTCTCTGCTCGATTCAGCAGAACTGCCTTGACATTTGAGTTAAATATCCTAATTTTTGTGGTAATGGAGATGGCAGAACTTTTCCATATGGGTCGCAGAACGTACGTCCTCCTCTGTGCCTCCCGTTTTGCTGATCTTGCTGCCAAGGTAGACAAACTCTTCCACATCATTTACCTGTCTTCCTTCTATTGTCACTGGGGCCTCCTGGTTATTGTTAATTCTCATCACTTCTGTCTTTTCTTTGTTGATCTTGATACCTACGCGCTGGGAGATGGCTCTTAATGCATCAACTTTTTCCTGCATGTCTTGTAGCCTGTGCGAGAGTAAGGCAAGATCATCTGCAAACTCTAGATCCTCCAGTTTTCCTGTGAGTGCCCACTGTATATCTTTTTCAGAACTGGCATAGGCTGTGTGTGTCACCCAATTGAGTACCACCAAGAAGAGGCGGGGGTGACAGCAGACATCCTTGTCTCACACCTGTGTTGACCTGGAACTCTTTAGACAGTTTCCCAGCATGGCTAACTTGGCATGAAAATCCATTCCTGGATTTCCACTAACTTAGCAGGTACTCCAAAGTGTCTCAACAGATTCCATATTGTTTGCCTATCTACACTATCAAATGCCTTCTCAGAGTCAACAAAGCAGATGTAAAGTGGGGCTTGCCATTCTATCGTCTGTTCTACAATAATTCTATGAGTGGCAATCTTATCTGTACAAGATCTTTCTTTCCTAAACCCTGCTTGTTCCTCTCTTAGCGCAAGGTCAACCACCTCTTTCATTCTGTCCAAAATTACTCTGGTAAGGACTTTACTTAGGATGGACAAAAAGGCAATACCCCTCCATTTTCCACACTGAGATAAGTCACTTTTCTTATGCAACTTCACAAGGAGGCTCCTCTTTCAGTCGGTTGGGATCTGTCTTGTGTTCCAGAC